TGAGAGAGAGTGGGCACCTCCCAGAACATTGTTTTGTGCCACTCCCAACAGAAATAACCCAGGTGGACACCTTCAGCAGTCAGGAGCTCCTCAGTTGCTCATAGCCATTTCCACCTTGGAGTTTACAAAGACTTATGGGTGGGAAAGCCACACTAAGTAATTTACTGCAGCACAGGTGTGCACCCCTACACTGTCAGAGGCATTGTCACCAAAATGGCCCCAGGGTCCACAGTGGCCACAGGTGGGCCAGCACCACAGGCGGAGGGCTGCCAAGGCAGTGGCATCACTAGGGTTGGTGCCACCCATCACACAGTGCGCCAGCTCATCAAACACCCTCCATCCGCAGTTACCTCCCAGAAAGGGTGTGGGCAAATAGACTGCGGGGAGAAGGGAGAAGTTGGAGGGGCCAGGCCACACAGCACAGTGCTTGGTCCTGTATGGGGGCCTCACAGTGAGGCTGTGCTGCCCGTGGAGGGGTGGACAACGCGAGTTACCACACTGATGGACACCAGCCCTAGAGACAGCACTGTTGCACACGTGCTTTGGACGCATCAGGGAGGACCAGTCCCTGGAGAAGGACCTCACGTTTGGTAAAGTGGAGGGTTAGTGCAAGAGAGGAAGGCCCTCACCAAGATGGACTGACACAGTGGCTGCGACAGTGGGCTCACACGCAACACTTAGGAGGCTGGTGCGCAGTGGGCAGTGTGCTCTCGTGCACAGGGTCGCTGTGAGTCAGAGGCGACTCGATGGCACCTGATGACGATGACATAAAAACGTTACAGAGTCAACCTTTTTAAAGTCCTGGAGGATTGTCGCATTGTAAAATCCCAGTAATTAGGTTCCAGTTGCCCTGGCTTTTCCTCGTTCTCTCTCGCCACCCTGTGCATAGTTTTAGCAAACTGACATTTTCTCTGCAGTGCCCAAGGGCTTTCAGCAGCCAGGGGGGAACGTGGGTGTGAGTAAGTGTCAGAGATCTGCAGAGGGAGCGGGACCCACAGACACTAACGGACTCCTGCTCCCCTCCTGCTCCCCGGGAGCCTTAGTGAGTCACAGAAGCCTTCCCTGGATGGAGTCCTGTGACCTTTGGGGACAGCAGGAGAGCAGACAGAGTGATGTCCTTGTCACTTTGCATTTAAATGTCACAGGCAGGACAGGCAATAAAATGAGCAAGGGGTTTGTGCTCTAGTTAAACATGTAGTTCATTAAGGTGAGTTCTTAGCTTAATTCTTACTGAAATAACTTAAAAACTAGAAATTACGCTTACTTTACGAGGTTCCCCTGTTGTTGTTGTTGTTATGTGCCGTCGAGTCGGCCCCGACTCATAGCGACCCCTCCTTGGGTTTCCGAGGCAGTATCACTACAGAAGTAGGATTGCCCAACCTTCCTTCCGAGGAGTGGCTGGTGGGTTTGAACCACCAGCCGTCTGGTGAGCAGGCAAGTGTCTTAGCCATTATGCTACCAGAGCTCCCACGAGGTTCCCCTAGGCCCTGTGTTTTGTTGCTTAAACTCTGCTGTGCTTGCTACTTGAGCAGTTTTACTTTACTTTACCCTTGAACTCCGAGCCCAGCCCAGCAGTAGTTCCAGTGAGAAAATCAGCCTTCTTGTTCAGGAGTGGCCAGACCCTACTTTCTCTTCTCATTTCCTTGATACAGAAAACAAAGAAAATTTTTTTATTTTAATTCATTCAAACCAAATTACTACAAACGCTGCTGCCATGGCTTCAGATTAAACCTACTGCCATGCAGTCGATTCTGACCCACAGAGCCCCTAGAGGACAGAGTGGAACTGCCCCACAGGGTTTCCAAGGCTGCCTCATCTTTCTCCTGTAGAGTGGCTGGTAGATTCGAACCACTGACCTTTTGGTTAGCAGTTGAGTACTTGAACCGCTGTAGCCTGTCACTGGGGTGCCTTCCTGGCTAGAGAGCCCCATTAAGTACTTCACTGCACCCAGAACATGACAGTGGCCTGGAGTGCTGAGCACTGTCCTGAGCACCTGGAGGAGCAGACACCACTCAGACTGCCAGGTGGTTCTTTGTCGTTGTCGGTGCCATTTCTAGCCCGTGTGCTGACACTCACCGTCCTTGCATAGAAGGAGATGGAGGCCTGAGGTCTGCTTCTGACCTGACACTAGCTGGGCTTCAGACTAGGGCCTGGGTCAGCTCAGAGATGCCGCCACCATTACTCAAACAGTTGCTGACTGTTACCAGCCTTTTCTTTTGTTGCCAGCTCTTGGCCTGCACTCTTCCCCAGCATCTGCTGTGATGCCAGCTGGGACTTGACTTAGGTTTTGACACAAGAACCTGGTGCTGCACACTCAGCCTTCACTGACCTCTCTCGCCCTGCAGACAGTGCCTGCGGCCCAGCCAGGGAGGCCAAGGAAGTGAAGGAATGGTTCGTGTACGCTGGGAACCCACTGAAGTACCCGGACCTGGTCAGGCCGCTGCCAATGAGTATTCCAGGTACTTTGTACGCGTCCTGAGCCGTGCGCCATGCGACGTCCCTAGGCACCTGCTCACCCATCCTGGCCTCAGCTAGGGCTACAGTAAGTGCCGCCCAGGATGTCCGAGGAAGCCAAACCCGGTGCCAGTGGCTTCTCTGGGTGAAGCTGCACCCTGCCATGCTCCTGCACCTACACGCAGGGCCAGAACCCCCACAGGGGAGTGGGAGTGGGGGGCTCTGTGGGACCCACACAACTTAGCAAACAATGCTGCATGCCTCAGAGGTGGGTGTCTGATACCCTGCTTCAACTGACTCATCCTGAAGGTCTATTAGATGAGTTGTGGAACTAGAAGGGCAGGTGTTCTGGTTACCCCTGTGCTGCTCTAACAGAAATTACCACAAGTGGGACGGCTTTGACAGACAGTTCATTCTCTTACAGTTTGGAGGCTTTAAGTCTGAGTTCAAAGTGCCAGGCTGGGTGAAAGCCCCTCAACCTTGAGCTTCAACTCTGCCTCATGCTCCCAGCCCACTGAAGCTGGAGGCTTTTCTTCACTCAGACAGTTGCTGGCTGCTGAGGCTGACAAACCCAAGGTTGACAAGTAAAAAGGTACAGTCCCAGTGTTTCCAAACCACGTGGCAGGCCTCTAATTCAAGTCCATTGAAAGTCCCAAGGTTGGCAGAGCTGCTGAACAATGATACAGCTACATGCAGGGTTCAAGTGTGCCACAATCTAGAGACCATTCCCAAAACTGCTTCTTATATACGGGAAGCAGGCCACATCCCTAAAGCAGCTACTCAGCTGCTTGTGGTAGATCCCACCATGGAGCTGATTGCCAGTCTCATCATGGGGAGTGACTCCCTCCAGCTGCCCGGCCACTCACCGAAGCCCAGCCAAGTTGACAACAATCTTAACCACCACAGCAGGTAAAGGAGAAATCATAACTGATAAAGGAAGTTTCACTTTCCTGAGCAATGGCTTAAAATACAAAGGGAGGGAAGGAAAATTTCACCAAAAACTTAGCTTTGGGAGTCTATCGAAAAAGCAGCCTCTGTTCCTGGGGTTCTTGGAGTCCAAGTGAGGGAGGGGGTTTACATTCGTGGGTGATGTTCTCCATGTAGACAGTGGGGTGACACCGGCGTTTCAGAGGTTGTTTTTAGTGGCTCTTGTCATTCTTTTGCGGAACAAATATTTTTCTAAATTTTGCCAGTTCCATTTTACGTGCGTTTGGTTCTCTCATGCTACTGATATCTTCATCACAGGAGCCTGTAATTTCCCAAATTAGGGTTTGCAGCAAAGTGGTTTTAGCATCAGAAGTGTATTGGGAGAGAAGGTGACAAAAATACTGTGGGGAATGTTTCTGTAGTCTCTCTGCCAGTGGTGGACTCAAACCTCAGAAGCAGTAACTAAACCCAAATAAATCCACATGCACTGACATTTCTTTTATAGGAAGAAGTGCTTTTACAGGAGAGTGGGACAAAGCTCCATAAGGGTGTCCTTGTCAGTGTGGTCTCCACACTTCCATGTCGACCCTCAAGCCGCATAGCAGCTCTGTGCAGGGTTGGGACAGGAGAGTGGACAAGAAGCTGCACAACAGCCATGGGGGCTGGTTGGCTTTTGCCTTGTATCTTTCATTGTTGTTGTTGTTGTTATGTGCCATCGAGTCGGACCCAACTCATAGCGACCCTCCTTGGGTTTCTGAGGCACTATCACTATGGAAGTAGATTGCCCAACCTTCCTTCTGAGGATGGCTGGTGAGTTTGAACCGCCAGCCTTCTGGTTAGCAGTCAAGCACCTTAGGCACTATGCTACCAGAGCTCCTTGTATCTTTCATTAGACAATAGAATAATAACTAGAAAGGATTTCATTTTACTTAGCTCCACAGTCAGTGCCCATGGAAGCAGCAGTCAAGAAAACAGATGTCGCATTGCACTGGGCAAATCTGCTGCAAGGGGCCTCTTTAAAGTGTTAAAGAGCAAAGTTATCACCTTGAGAACTAAGTAGTGCTGACCCATAACATTGTCCTCAGTTGTTTCATATGCATGAGAAAGCTGGCTGGTATTGAGGACTGAAGCAGCAGCAATGCCTGTGAATTAGGGTGTGCTGGCGAAGAATGTAGGCCTGCCAGGGTTTGCCGACACCTTTCCCGTGTGTTTCTGAGAAGTGAAGCTGACCTTGTGGTTATCTGGGAACAGGACCCATGAGCCCCTGTTAAGTGCTGTCACCATGATGTTCTTTGGTTTCTTTTGCCAGTTATCTTTAGGGTTTAGTTTCTTGCAAGAAGCACGACTTCTTTGCTCCCCAGAATTAACAAGGGGAGTGTGTTCTGATTCTCCTTCAGGAGGCATGCCGAGCTTGACGACGCTGTGGCTGAGCCGGGAGCCGGGCGTGCAGGCCCGGCGCGTGGATGTCTTCTTGGCCTGCTTCAACCTCTCCTCCATGAGCGAAGACCTGCAGGCCATCGAGGGGCCGCTCAGGGCACTGTGCTGCCTCCTGACCTACCTCTTTGTGCAGGTAATGCCAGTGCCGGGCATCCAGGCGATGCATGGACTGCCGCCTCTGCCCTCGCCTTCCATGAGGGCTGCACTGTGGCCTTTGTTTGCAGCACATGCTCCTGGGCCAGAGTCCCTGGCATGCTCTCAGTGGGGAGAGGCTCATAGTGCCGTCACATGGGAAACTGCCCGCTGTGTCTGGCCTAGAGATCTGCAGCGGGAATTCAGGAGGAGGAATCAGCATACAGCCAAATGGTCCCTTTGAGGCAGAGGCCAAGCAGACTTCTGCTAGGCCACAACTTGGCGACCCTGGTGGTTTCCCACCCCAGAAGATGTGTTACTGTTCTGGGGGACAGGGGTCAGGGTCCAAGTTGATTGACATCTCTTCCAAGTTGATTGACATCTCTTTGTGCGTAACTGATAAGGACTGGCACATATTAAGGGCCAAACCCCAGAGGTTCTTGGGACCACCTGGAGCTAAGGGGAGAGCGCATCCCCCAGTGAGAAAAAGAAGCTGCAGCCAAGAGAGGTGCTGGCAGGGAGCTGAGAGGGGACTGTGCCCTCCCCTTGGGACCCTTCTGCACCCAGCCTGTGTGCTGCCCGACCTCATCCCCAGGTGTTCCTGTTCCCTCCAAGTTGATCCTGATCCTGAGCTGTGGCCTGTCGCTTCCCTGATGAGCCACAGAGCTGAAGGTGTGGCTCTGAGGGGTGTGTGGCTGTGACGCCAATGCCTGCACCCAGGATGGGGAGGGCATGGGGGGCCAGCTGCAGGGCTGGGGCCAGGACACAGCTGAGGGTGTGGCTGTGAGGTGCATGGTTTACAGCGATGCCCACCCCCAGGAGGGCAGGAGCACAGGGAAGATGAAGGCAGAGGCGAACTTGACGGGGCTCGTAGGAAGCAGTCTTGGGTGGTCCTCACTGGCAGGGGTATCCTCATGATTCTTATTCCAGAAGGTACTCAGGGCCCTGGCTGTGCTGCGTCTCTGAATCTCTCCCTCCCTGTGACCTGCTCCAGTCCTGCCTGTCCCTTGCTCTCTGAGTGCCTGACCCTGACTGTCCCCTGTTCTCCAAATGCTGTCCCCAGTGCTGCCTGTCCCCTGCTTTCCAAGTGCCCACTGGCCCTGCCTGTCCCCTGCTCTCCAAGTGCCCACCGGCCCTGCCTGTCCCCTGCTCTCCGAGTGCCCACTGGCCCTGCCTGTCCCCTGCTCTCTGAGTGCCCACTGGCCCTGCCTGTCCCCTGCTCTCTGAGTGCCCACTGGCCCTGCCTGTCCCCTGCTCTCCAAGTGTCCGGCCCTGCCTGTCCTCTGCTCTCTGACTGCCCACTGGCCCTGCCTGTCCCCTGCTCTCTGACTCCCACCGGCCCTGCCTGTCCCCTGCTCTCCGAGTGCCCACCAGCCCTGCCTGTCCCCTGCTCTCCGAGTGCCCACCGGCCCTGCCTGTCCCCTGCTCTCCGAGTGCCCACCGGCCCTGCCTGTCCCCTGCTCTCTGAGTGCCCGCTGGCCCTGCCTGTCCCCTGCTCTCTGAGTGTCCGGCCCTGCCTGTCCCCTGCTCTCCGACTGCCCACCGGCCCTGCCTGTCCCCTGCTCTCCGAGTGCCCACCGGCCCTGCCTGTCCCCTGCTCTCCGAGTGCCCACCGGCCCTGCCTGTCCCCTGCTCTCTGACTGCCCACCGGCCCTGCCTGTCCCCT